TTATATTTCGATATATTTATAAATCCAAGTTAGTACATAATAATTATCTATTATAAACAATTGTTACAAGAACATCAAGATATAAGATATTCTTTGTAAACGTCGTAAATAGTAATAGTTAAATTCACCGTTCTACATGTTTTGTGAAATTTGAGAGGATCAATCGTCGACGAGTGGCTTTGCCAAGACTACGTCACATCCGCCGTCGTTTCTATCTGCGAGCTAGTTGGCGACGTAAATGGTGGTGCTGCCGATGCTGCTGATGCTGATGCCGATGCTGCTGATGCTGCTGCTGTTGCTAGTAAAATGCAGGACGCGGTGACTAAAAGTGGAAACATTTTATTTTGTGAAGAGTACATTGAGGTGTGGTGTACTATGGAATACACCAACGAGCGTACGAATTATTTCCTGATGCAAATGCGTTCTGCCAGCTAGCTACGAACCTAGCAAGTGCACCAGTGAACAAATGACATAGTGCACGGCACACGGCAACACATGAGCTTCGACGGGCTTTCGAAACTCACTGGTGGTGGTGCTCCAAATTCGAACCTAATCCCATCGGGAGAGGCATACTCATACGTGAGGGTCAGTCACAATGCCGTTGAAAATTTCCTATCACGCTTCCGTTCATCGCCGTTTGTTTTATCTAATGCACGTTTTTACTCGTCAATAAAACAAATTGTCGATAAGATATAACGTTATTTAATAATACTCAACTAGATTTCGTAAGAGATAACGAATTAATTGTACAATAGTTTGTTTGAACATTTGTGTAACACAAATTCTTACAATAGGATTCAATCATTCAATTATATTTAACCGATTTAACAGAAAAATAAGATTGTTTATAATTCGATTTTCACATTTCTATGAAATAATACACCAAGTGGATTAAATAATTAATAATTAATGCTAAATCAAATGAATAGTAACATAGGATTACTCTTTCCTTTATTTTTTAACGAAGAATAATATATCGGTATGATGAAATAATTAAATAAAATTCAACAAAATCAATAGGAAAATAAGATTCTTCTTTTTATTTTGTAGCTTCTACATTTATTCGTCTATTTTTTTCAAAGTGAACCAAACAATTATTACTTGTTTTCTTTTCGTGATCAGAAATGAATTTGATTTTAAAAAGCGGATTCGTTCGATAGAAAATGTATAAGAGTATTATTTTTAGCTTTTTCTCTTGTTTAAATGAGAAATCCTTACCCCGGAATTCAGAGATACACAGAATTCCAGAGTCTTTCGTTCATGGCAATCAAATCAAGAAACAATATCAGAAGTATATGTAGTATAGTAGCATTGATGTGCACATTATTAGGGTGGTGCAGGAAGCTTGAAAAGAAGGGTCACAGTAATTTGATACCACGATAACGGAAAAGAAACAGAGACCTCGATAATATCTACCAATGGAAAGAATGGGGAACATTGTGCGTGATCGAACATTTAAAATGTTTTTGGGTAAGGATATTTCGTGCACTTTGATACGAATAGAACGACTCTGACATTGGAATGCGTCAAATGAATTTACGGAAGTATTATTTTTAATTCGGTATGGGAAACAGGAAAGGATGTTTTGAAATTGTATTTGATCTGTCTGACTTGTTTCTTCCGTTACTACTTGATATTATTATGACATGATAATTTTAACGATTTAGATGTTATTCTAATTTCATTATTTTTCTTTTATTATTTAAAATTACCTTTTTAATTATATCCAATAATTTTTAAATGATTATTTTTATTTTTTATTGATAAAATTGTGTACCAACAGGCACAATTAAATATTAATTATATTGAATAAATTACGTTTAAATGATTATTCTTATTTTATATCATTGAAATCATATCAAATAGCAAACACAAATAAAAAAAATAATTTCTTCCATTAATTTTTATACGCTCAACAACATCTTTCGTATGGAATTATACTAATTTTTGTTGACTCTCCATTGTAATCACATGAATCATTTACGTTCTACGAAAACTTTAAATTAACTTGAACAAAAATTTCATAGTTTAAGCATTTACGATCGATTTATTATGAAATTTGTTAAACACCATACTTATTAATTTAAATCATAGCAATAATATATTTCAATAAAAATAGTTTTGATAGAAACAAAAATAGAATATAATATATCATACGACATAACTTTTCCATACATTCTTATCAGAAAGTGAAAGAGCACCTATATCTGTGTTTCCTAATGACTTCGTAGAGAGTCCCTTCTTCTTGTACCTTCGCCCTTAACGTCGAAAAACCGTACGCTTTCTGGACGATTAATCTCACACCTGGCGGCCTTGGCCCAGGAAACGGAAAGGTTTACGCGAGTCAAGGACATGCATGCAACGTCTCTTATCGCGGCAATCGATACGGCCGAATAAGGATAGACCGTAGCTTTTCATCTTGCGTGACCGCATAGGGTGTAGGAGGGAGGGGGAGGGAGAGGGTAAGTTCGAATCGACGTTGGTTTTAATCGGGTACGTGGGCGGAACCGTTATCGAGGTCGTGCAAGACTTAGAACGAGTTCTTTCTTTGCGTGCGTGTTTATTACACTTTCATATCTCTATGTGTATATGTATGTATGTATGTATATATATATATATATATACGTCAGTTAACGAAGAGTAAATGTTCTTATCCTGATAATTAGTAACAGTCACGAAAGCAAATTCAAAGGGTCTAAGGTCGTAACAGTTTCTTGTACTTTTTCACACGTTGAAGGAATGAAAAAAAGAAAAAGAAATAATCTCGAGTTTCAAATATAACACAAGCAACACGTATAAATTTAATACTCGTATATAAATATTCTATACATGTGTGTATGTGTGTATACGTGTGGTGAAGAGTTACATTTTTTTAAAAGAGATACCTAATCAAATATAACATGCATACTTTATTTATTTATATTTAACGGTAAACAGTGGAAAGGATAAAAGGGGATACAATGACGATACATCTGACATTGAATAAAAAAGAATCAAACGAGATAAAGAAAGATGGATATAAATGGAAGGAGTTACAGAGAGAAAGAAATAGTTGGGGGAAGGAACAGTTGTACGTTTAAACAGGCCGATATTTTCCTTCTTTTTTCTTTTTTCCCCATCCATGGTGAAGAAAAGAATTGTAGAATGCGAATCGGCAAAGGAACGGAGGAAATGCTTTAACGCGTTTGTTCGCTGTTGAGGGAGGTAAAAGGTGGATGGGGTGGTTGCTTGGTTGTTCATTCGTAGTGAGATGTGGTGGTAGTAGTAGTTCGTATACGCGGGCGCGTAGAGAGAATTGGCGAAGGATACGTCGAAAGATGAACACGAAAAGAGAAAGAGAAAGAGAGAGAGTAAGAGGGAGAAAGAGAGAGAGAGAGAGAGAATGAAAATGATAGGGGTAGGGAGTGGAAAAGGATGAAAGAGGAAGAAGGAAAATGAGAGAGAGAGAGAGAGAGGAGAGGAAAGTAGTGAGTAGTAGAGGTGGTGCTGATGGAGAAGGTGGTGGATTGTTCAGGAACGTGCCGAAAGGGTCCGCATGCCCGGTTATTTAAAAGAACTAGACCCTTGTTCACTGAAGGGCCAACCCCACTCGTATCGTCAAACGTAAACTAAATTAAAAGGACGGCGCAAGAGATAGGACTCATCGAAAAGTACGCATGAAGATTTCAATTATATCATAGGAACGAAACACGGAAAATAGAAAAAGAGAAATAGAAAATAAACATTAATAAAAAAAAAGGAAACAAAAATAATGTATCATAAAAAAGGAGAAAAAGAGAGAGAGTATCCAAAGGATAAGAAAAGAGAGGGGGGAATAGTTTTAATGGAGGGGTGGTGGTATGTTTGGAGAAAGGGGAAAAAGATCAAATGAAAACGGAGAACTAACAGGAGTATAAGGGGGAGGCAGAGAAAGAGAGAAAGAGAGAGAGAGGGAGAGAGTGAGAGAGAGTGAGAGAGGAGAGTAAAAGAATCAGAGAGGGGGGAGAGCAGGGTGAGAGAGAAAGACTGCGTGCGCAGTAGTAGGGATTCTGTGTAGAAAGAGATGGAAAGAGACAGACATATATATATAGAGAGATAGAGTGAGAGAGAGCGAATCAGCATGAGGGGTGGAAGGGAGGAAGCACCAGGAGACCGAGGCTGCGGCGTAGCCTCAGTGCCGGCGCAGTGGCCGGGCCATCGTGTCCTGTGCCCAGGTCTTCGTGCTGTTCTCTTTCCATTTCTGATCCTCTATCGATAGCCGCACACGTTCGTTACTTCAGATTTAATCATCATTCTCGAAAGGCTTGTCGCGTACTTTCGCGAGCCTCTTCTTCTTCTTCTTCCTCCTCTTCCTTCCGTATTTCTTCTTCTTCTTCTTCTTCTTCTTCTTCCTTTTCCTCTTCCTTTTCCTCTGTCTCTTCTTCATCTTATTCTTATTCTTATTCTTATTCTTATTCTTATTCTTATTCTTTTACTTCTTCTATTCTTTAACTAACATACCCCCCCCCCACCCCGCCAGCCCCAGTGTTACTATTTTTCTTTTGCTCATATTTCACCCATTTTTTCTTCCAATCATCGTTGGAAGAAAATTTTCCTCGGTTTTGTTCTTGTATATCTTTTCATTCGTCTTTCTTCCTTCTTTCCTCCCTTCCTTCCTTTTTTTATTTTTTTCTTTATTTTCGTATTTACCTTTTCCATATCTTCGTTTCGTCATTTTATTTCTTCCCAAATTTTGACGAATTTCTTCTGATCATCTCGTCCTATTCAACAACACGTTTACGTGACACGCACGCACGCACGCACGCAGGCAGGCAGCAGGCACGCACGCATTGACATACACGTACAGGACATTCGCAAGGACACACACACGCATATCGACCCAGTGCGATGCCGGACGTGGTCGGTGGTCGTCGCGACGCGATGTGAACTTCGGTGAAATAGAGAAAGAAAGAGAGAGAGAGAGAGAGAGAGAGTAGGAGAGATAAAGAGAAAAAGAGAGAGAGAGAGAGTGAGGGGGTGAGAAAAAAAGAGCAAAAAAAGAGAAAGAGAAAGATAGGGTGGACAAAAAAATTGGTGTTCTTCTCTCTCTCTTACTTACATAGTCCGGGACAAAATCTGATGTGATTCTGGAATTTTCTTGTTTGTTCCGTGGTGTATATCTTCGAAAGGGATCCTTTTCGTTCAAGGACGGTGTACCAAAAATAAGATTAATCGATCGATAAATAGATACATTTAAACTGATATATTATTACGATTGAATGAAAATAAGTGATTTGTTGATGAATTATTTTAAAGAGAAGTGAGAGAAAAGAGAGTGGAAGATATATTAACGTTTCTTCCTGCCGGGCAACAGCAGCCGGGAGCATCAGGGTGAAGAGGTGGGAGCCATGCCGCCCGGGCTGAACTTCCCTCGAGGCAACCAGCAGGATCGTCGAGCTACCGCCTTCCTGTCCTTCGAGACTACCAGCTGTGGTTTCTGATCGCCTCCATTGAGGTACGTTGTGCACCCTTTAAGGTCCTTCTTCTTCTTCTTCTTAACAAGATATTTCATATCTTTTCTTATATTTTCCGCTTTACTCCTTTTCCTGATTGAATTCAATTCAATGATAACGATTACGATTCCCCTTACTGGCTACTACTACGATCATTTATGATCCTTGTGGAAAATGTTGTTATTGTTATTATTATTATTCGTTCGTGTCGCGTGTCTCTCTCGTTATTTTTAAACAAATTATTTTTCTTCCTGGTCTAAGCGAATTTTGTTATTTTAAGTCCTCGGTAATCGTCGTCGGTTTGATTAATGATGATTTATAGGGACAGTGTTTGTTCATCAATGTTCGAAGAAAGGAAGAGTATTTTTGCGTTAATATTTTGTCCCCCAATTTTCTCATTAATGTGTATCATGTATTATGCATTTTTATAGGTTTCCCATAAATCAACGTATTTTTTTGACTTTTAACATTTTCAAAAAAAAATATTAACCATTGGGATTTATACATTTATATCGTTTAGTTATCTTTGGTTATGCGTTACTTTTCTGTTTTCCAATTATTCCTTTATGACAGGAATATTTTTCTAAGAATATTATTGATAACGGGCGAAAAGTGTCGTTAGAGAAAATAATACGTGTCATCGTTATTGGAGAATAAATAAAAAAGAGATAAATTACTATTGACATTTTGAGTAGGCTCGTCTTAGAATCCCGTTTAAATTCTTCACGCGCATGACAGGAGGTTGGACGTGCCGTTCTCGCATGACTCCGATGTTTAGAATGTTGTTTCGTCGTTTGGTGAGCTTCCTTATGAGATAAGGTTTCAAAGGATGATCCCTTAAACAACCGAGTCGTTCGTATTTGAAAGATCCCTTTTGTCTTTTTCTTTTTTTCTTTTTTTCTTTTTTATACTTCGTTTAAGTAATCTCTTTCTCTTATACTTAAACTTTAGCAATTCTTACTTAGATTGAAACTCTCACGAATAATACATAGAATGGTCGATGTATCTCTTTAAATTTGTTTCTCTTACATTGATAGAACTTTTCGTATTATGCAAGTACTCATGTTTCGCAAACACGTGTCATATGTGCCAATCATGGTGCCACATTGGACGTCCTTCGAGACTAGTTTGTAACTATGTAGCCTTGTATGGTTTGCGGCTAATTATCTTGAAACTCGTTCGAATTAATGTCAAATGCTATCAATAAACGATGATCATTTTGAAAACGATACTTTTGAATTTCGATATTTATTCATTCGTTATAAATTTTTTGAACAAAGATCATAGAAAAATATTGTCAAAATAAATTCATGTGTTTTTTTATATCTAAAAAAAAAAAAAACGAACAAATATTATTAAAAAAAAAATAATTGATGTTCTTTCATTTCAGTGCTGCCATTGCGAACGCTATACAAAGTAACATCAATTTGCTTCTTACTTTGTAGATATCATTTAATGGTCTTTTTACGAGCAACGTAAGATCCGTTTTTGCGTGAACTTTCGCGCTTGGCTTTTAGCGAGGAAGGGATGGAAATTGACGATAAGAATGTTTTTTTTTTTATGCTCAAAGTAAACGACGACAAGTTATAATTTGTGCTACGTCAATACATTCTTTTTTTATAGATAGATACACAGTGCCTTCTTTTTTCAAACTTCCAACCATAAATGCTTCTTCTTCGTTTTAAGTTATTTCGATTTGTTGAAAATATGTGTAAATGCAAATATTAAAAAGGGATATTTGAAATCAATATTGATAAAATTGTAGATTCCCCCACCCCTTCCAATCACAGCTACTACTTCTACTTTGAAATTTTTAATTACACTCCCTATCTTGTGATATATAATTTTAAAGTAATTAACATCTGCGTCTAATTGCTTTTAAGAAATTGAATACGGTAAATTCGTTTACGAGATACGGTTGAAAATTATAAGATAGATCTTAATATTATTTTTTTCGATATTATTAAATTTCAAAAGGAAATTTATTTATTTTTCTTTTTCATTGCTCTCAAAATGTACCATTAATAAGTTTAATATATTTACTTTTGTTTACTTTTTCACCAAATTGAATTTACTTATATACGTGCATATTTATTATTCAGTATGTGACAATGGGGGTAAATGGCAAAGTATAAAAGTTAGAAAGTATGTAAGTGGACTTCGTATGAGGTGGATACGTCATGAGTGTCTAAATAAAAAAAAAAACTTAAAATTTCGTGTTGAGTTGTGAAAAGTTTAGCATCAAAAATTACCTAGCAGTGTACATAAATGATAAACGATGAAGAAGCTTCCCTCGTATTGTGCAACTCAAATAAAGAAATAAAAGGAAACAATAAAAAGTTTGAAGAAACATTTAACGTTCATATTTCCATACCATATATCATCTTTTTCACTTTTTATATTTCCAATATTTATTAAACTGTAATATTATTATTTTTCTTTTTTTTTTTTTAATATAAAATCTTACTAATATGTGTGCAAATTGGAGAGAGAGTGTGTCTGTTTGAGAGAGAGTTAATTAAATGAAATTAGCTGATCGTATCAGTGAGCTAAGATCGGCTGAAGATCTTAGGGATTTTCTATCCAGATAAAAAGAAGTGAATTTGATAGAACGATTATATCTTCGTTAAGCAATACCTTTTTCATGAGTGCCATTAAAATTCTCTTTACACGCTTTCGATTAAAATAGAATAATTAATCGAGTATTCTTTCGGTGTTTTTTTTTCGACTGATTCAGTGAACGATAGATAAGTAAGTAGGTATTTATATTTAAATCAAGATAGGAAATATGTGAACGTTAGTATGAGATTTTTTTCAAATCTATAGTGCTCGTTCGTGTTACCGTTTTGCATGATTAATACGACTGATATATGGTAATGGATTGCGTGTTGATTTATTTTTTCGTAATACATATAAAAATCAATTAATTTTTATTGTTTTTTTTCTTTTTTATTATTTTCAATTTTTATAATAAATGGATTTATCTACATCACACTGATACATATTAAATTGTTTATTAACTTTTTCTTTTTTCATATAATACTGTTTAAAAAATAATTTAATTATTTTTTCTTTTATTTTAACTTTTTATACAAAAAATAGGTTTACTTTTATTATTAATTTATTATTACACATTGAGCACATCATTTTTAAATAAAAAAATGTTTCGTTCAATTATTATTTATAATACAATGTAAAAATCAATCGAATTTTTGTTTCTTTTAATTCAAACATTTTCGAAAACAATTTCAAATAAATTAAATCACGAATTAAGATTTATTAAAATTAGTGGGTGGGGAAGGGGGATGGTATTATATTTTTAGTACTTCTTCAACGATTATGAGATCTAAGCTCACTGTAATCCTATAATTAAATTTGTAAGCATATCAATGGTGAGCACCATTTTTGTTTGAATAAATGAAAGACATTAACTATGTTGTAAACGTATAATTATGATCTAATTAACCAGGAATTGTTATTCTAGTGTAACGATTACACGTTTTCGGCTGTGAATGTGATCATTAATTCCATCTATGACGTCCGCTACTTGCAACCGAGGCAATGCTTCTAATCCGCATTGTGTTCCCGTATGATTTACATTAGAAGCAGGCTTGAATTCAAGCATGAGAATTAATATAATATAATATATTTATTATATATTACAAAGCTTATTATGTAATCGTTAAACGCGTACTGACTCGATCGTAGATCATCAATTTAAGGGGTTGGAGGGGTATAAGCGTGATCACACGATTTCGAGGTGATTTTTAGGAATTCAATTTAAAGAAACGTTTTAATTTACACTGTGTAGTTATATTTATACATGTTTGAAATAACATTTGAAAATTTTTCATAATATTGCATTTTATTGCAAATTTTATATGTTACAGAACGTTGCGTAGATCATATAACGAACACTTTTTATCATCGTGGCATACTGATTATGGCCGTTTTTAGACATACTAAACGAACAAATTGTTTTTCTCATTTATTCATAACGAATGTGTTTATCGTTGGACGGAGGGAAATAAAAAAAATATATTGACGAAATGAATATTTCAAGCAGCACTTGAAATAGGGAATTTGGATTTTTACGAAAAAAATGTTTACTTCTTACGACAAAGAAAAATATTAATATTAAAAAACAGTCTGATATGTACTCCACTAGGTTTGAAATAGTTTCTATGGGATCGTGCCCCGATAACCTTCGTATCTCGATTATTTTAATGAATTCAATGAATCAAATACTTAAGATTTCCAAACTATAAAAATATACAAAAAGAAGAAAAACAAAATTAATTTGGTATGGAAATCGTACTATTGATAAAAAAAAATCGATGAATTTTTATCTCGCTTTGATTAAGAAATAAATCTGCGATTTGTATGGAATGAAAATAATTCGAATTGGAAATGAAATCGGTCGAATTGGCAAATGAGTTGAACATATTTGCTAATCAGAAGAGTACGATTTGCTAATCTCGTGGCTTTAATTTTCGAAACTCGAGTATCAACGAGTACACGCGCGTCTCACTCTAAACTGTTTCTATTTCTATCTCTTTCTGTATCCATCTCTTCACTTCTTGTATTAGTGTATGTTTGCGTGTATACTTGCATGCGTGTGTTTGTGTGCGCGCGCGCGCTCGCGTGAGTATGAGTGTTTGCACTTTGTATCCGCAAATTGTTAAACCTCCTCTATAATCGTTTGTTAGGCCGAAAATGGATGGTCGATTGTGTGGTAGCAGTTACGTAGTCAAGTGGTAGTGAGAAAGAGAGAAAGAGAGAGAGAGAGAGAGAGAGAGAGAGAGAGAAGAAGAAGAAGCAAATTAAAACTAAACGAAATTTTCGAATGTATATACATATAGTGAAAATTAATAGTAATAATAATGATAACAATTAGGAAAACCAATAAAAAGATATTCTTCTTTTTTTCTTTCTTCCTTTTTTTTTTCTCTCTCGGAATAAACCGTGCTAATTGTAAGTCCGTGGAAAGAGGATTTTCTCG